GAAGGCATGGTGGGCACGGGGAAGGCATGGTGGGCACAGAGAAGGGATGGTGGGCACAGAGAAGGGATGGGGGGCACAGGGAAGCTGTGGTGGGCACAGGGAAGCTGTGGTGGACACAGGGCAGGCGCGGGCTCACCTGTGGCCGGGGGTGGCCGGTGACCAGGCAGGTGAGCTCCAGGGTCTCTCCCTCGCGGATGGTGTAGACCCTCTCGGAGTATCGCTCCTCCTCGATGTTACAGGCCAGCCCCGAGTGCACGATCCTCACCGTGGGGGGGGCTGGGGACACACACACAGGGAGAAGCCACGTCAGCAACACTCCTCTGACTCCAGGACCACCCCCAGACCACCCCCTGCACGGAGGGGCTGCACAGAACCCCACACTCAGCCAGGCTGGGAAAGACCTCTGAGATCATCCAGTCCAACCTGGGACACAACCTCGCTGTGTCACCCGGCCCATGGCACTTGAAGCGAGGCAAGGCCCAGAGAGCAAATGTAATATAGCAATACGAAAGGTAAAGAGTGAAATTCAGAATATAGGCTTTAAGCAAAAGCACGAAGGATGTGGTCTTAGAAACAGCAGAGGCCATAATTCCTTAAAAAATGCAGGACAAATTGACACAGAAGAACAGAAGCCTAAGTGCACAGGAAAACAGAAAGAACTAAAAGGCTAAAATAAGTATATAGAGAGGAAAACAAAGACTGATAAGGAAGGAAGATGAGCCAAGACCTAGGTATGCTTGCCAAGGTATCAGAAACTTCTGCCAAATTCACTAGGAAGGTAGCCAGAGTAGGAGAGTTCACAAAGTTCATGATGATGGTGGAAAAAGGGACGGGGGCTCGTGAGGCTGAAGAACAGGAACGACCCCCCCGGATTCTCCCCAAATTGAAGACCACACCCCAAACTCCGCCTGAACTCCGCCTGTTACGAATATCAAAAATGTATGTTGCAATATTATAAATATTCATGCTCGATGATGTAATTGCTAGGCACAAACTGTATAAAAGTCCAGCTGTGAGTTGCTGGGACGAAGCAGTTTGTCCAGGGAGGCCTGGCTGCTTCCCGGCACCGTAAATAAAGACACCTCCTGCTTACGGACTGAAAACTTTGAGCAGTTTCTTCATCCCTGCCTTT